AGTTTAAGAAACGCAGGACGTGGCGAATCCGTAGCCAATGATAGTGCGGCATTAGCCGATAAGAAGCGCTAACATATTACGCCACACTCCGCTTGTTTTAAGATGTCAGTGACAGCTTAAAATCATACAGAAACTGGGTGGTGCTCTTAGGTTAGCTGGTGCTTAGGGCAAGGTTTTGTATGGAAACAGATTGCGTCACGCCATTGTCTCTTCGTGACGCTGCGCGCGCTTCCCTTCGGCACCACCCTGATACATATACGTATCCTTTGCGCTGAGTTTTCTTGGTCACTAAGAGAGGAGAAGCGCGCTATTCTGCCCTTTCCACACCCCCTCGTTCCGCGCGCTCTTTCTACACCACCTGTTTCGGGTCCTCTCCTTCTTGCCTTTTCCAGTCCTCTCCGCTCCGCGCGCTTTCTCAAACCACCTGCTCCTGCTCCTCTCATTCTTGCGTGCTGGGTCCGTAGCTTGGACAGCATCGCACTTGGCTTACACGCCGGTGATCGGAGATCAATCCTTGTCACCGGTTACCATTTCTTTTTTCTTTTTTTTAAAGGTCGTTTAGTGGTGACGGATTGACCGACCTGCACATTTCGTGCTTACGCGACTGCTGAGATTAATTAACGCTATAAAGCTACCGTTTAAAAAAAATGCGGGAAGCTCCGTCTCCTACGAGACTTCGAAGTGTGATGTGCCACTTCTACAAGCTTGTGACCGGTTTACATATATCACCCCACTGCCAGAACAACTCGCGATTTTGTATAGCAGCATGTCCGTAACATAGCACTCGTATTTTATTGTAGAATGCGTTTTAACGAGTGTAACCCGGTGAAAACGCACGACTCCAAAGCGTTACGATTGGTGGTGTGTCCGCTGTCACTGCGTCACATGACGTTGTGTCACGTGATGTTTTATAACGTGAGGTTGAGTCACGTTACGGTGCGTTACGAGAACGTTGTTCACTTCAAAGCAATGGCGGCGTTTGGTCAAGTCGCCATCTTTCGTTAACAAAGATTTATTCTGCTACGCTGTTCAAAAGTAGCTGGGCATGCGCTGTGGCAAATATGAAGCATGATAAGATTCACATTCGCGCCATCCTCGCACTTGCACCTAAAACAAACCTTGTCTTCCATCTGGAAAGCAAAATTTTTGGACGAACCGGAAGTTGGCAGAGGCTGCTAACTCATTCTGTTGCATGTACATTTAGACAGCAGAATGTAAGTCTGCTTCAAGGGACCCCTCCGCTTTGAATCAAGAGGCTCTTGTTGCAACCGGACGATGAAGAAGACGGGAAGCGAGGGAGCTCGTGCTTTGGGTTTTTTTACTCAGTCTGAAAACAAAAAACAAACGATAAAGTCGCACCGATCGATAGTCTAGCGTATTTTCTTTGTGTTCTTTGGTTCCTGAACAGCTCCCTCGCGGGTACCGCCTCCATCCCATTGGCTAGTGTAAGCGATCACGTGACTACAGCGACAACCAACGGCTTTCCGAAGAATGCTGCGATGCGAGGCTCGGTGCATAAACAATTGCATCAAGATTGACCGGCTCCAAAATGCGTTCGACGTACGACGATTTCTCCCCAAGCCCAATTTTTTCCACTTTGCCTCAGTTTTGTAAGGCGTGGAATGTTTCTTACGCAACCCCTAAACCCCAAATATTTGTCTGTCCGTCCGTGCAGCTCCCCACTAAACTTAGCAGGAATATTGACGCCACGTGACGTAACGGTATCACGTAACATGTCACGTCACGTGACCACGTAGAATAATGTCAGGAAACGAAAAAGAAGTCACTTTCCCTGAAAAATGTATAGGAAAATTAATACTTAATCTGTTCCTCACTCACCCAAACGACTGTTTAATGCTTTACGATTCGAATTGAAACAATCGTTGTTTAAATATTGCATCCTATGCGTCATATGAGTTTAATAATAAAAGTCGATAGAATTTTTTTTTTTTTTAACGACATCACAATTGTTGTTGTTGTTGTTGTTGTTGTTTTCAATGCTATGACAGTTGTCACGTTCCCGTACGATCCTTGGAAACTGTATACGACGTTATCTCTTTACGAACTGTGGTGACAGCATTCGGGAGGAACACGGCGGACGGAAAGTGACTTTCCCATCACGTAGATTGCTTCAACTTGGAGGCGACACCTAAAAGAAAAGAATAAAAATAAAATATTAACTTTTTTCCGTTTTGACAGCTGACAAACACTATCATACAAAGTAAATAACGAAATACAAAATTTCATTGACTCCCCCCCCTTCCCCCCCCCCCCCCCCCCTCCTCCCTGAAAGGAGACTCAAACTGTCATTTCTCGTCAGCAAAGTGAAATTCTTACACGAAAAAGGCAGGGAGGTTGTCCAAACGTCATGCCCCAGAATGAGCAGAAGCCTCAAATTAAGTTCGTTTCCGGTGTTTAGAAAGTGCAAAAAAAAACAACAAAAAAGCTTTGAAATGAGTGTAACTATAAAAACAAAAACCGGGGACGAAAAAGGCTCACAATGGCACCCAACGCTGATCAAATGAACCGAAAACGAAAGGAAGTTGAACGTCGAATACAAAACGCGAAGGCGCAAACAAGACGATCGCGACACAAAATGTGACAACGATAGGAAACAGGCGAGGAACAGCGATAGCACGTATGTTTGGCGGTTTCAAAGAAAACCTTTCAGCTCTGTTTGTCCAAAGTAAACGAATACAAACAAATCGGAATCTCCGCCTCTTGTGTTGTTTGTTCGTTTTCTTCTTTTTTTTTTTTTTTTACTTGACAGCGTTTAAGATGACAGAAGCAGCATCTAAAAAAGAGTAGCACCAGCGCCGTCGTTTATGATCTTCAAAAACCGACAATAGACGCGGAGGAAACGCTGTTATCGGCAAGACTGAAGTTAAACGAACGTAGGAACTTAAAAAAATAAAAAAATAAAAACTGCGACTGAAAGTACGACGCGAGTGAGTTTATTTTTCTACACAAAGAACCATTATTTCAGTAACTGTATATGTCTACGTGATAGCCAACAAAGTGCATCGGTACGAAAAGAAAATGAAATATAAAACCTGTAAAGGAAGATAAATGAAACTACGAAACTCTACACGGCCAAACGTAAACAAAACAGACCTTGCCGTATAATATCGCAGACTTCTCTTACACACATGTGCGAAACTTACCAGTTTGTGTCACTTTCACTTGCCGTAATATCTTCGGTTTCTCTCCCCATGTGATGTCGTCGATTGCTTTTTAATGTTGTTGTTGCCGTAATATTTTCAGTGTAATAAACTCTGAACATGTATACAGTGATCTAAGCTTGTTTTCCATTTAGGATATTTAGAACTTTGCATTAAAAGGTTTTTACACATAAAATATTGCTGTTTGGTTGATGTGGGGGCATATGCCGTTCCTTCATTGTTCAAGAGCCCAGATAGCCTTAGATATATTTCGAAATAGCTTCATCTTTTCTTTTTATTTTTATTCACGTCTTGCACGTGTTACGATCGTATCCCAAGACACAGAGAGCGAGCACTGAACTGTACGAGAACTTTCCGATAAAGTTGACGTGTAACTTGTAAATCACAACTTAAAAAAAAAAACGAAAAAAAAAAACATAACGGTCGCCTTTTGTTTAACCTCTATACTTGTGTTTTGAACGACACAAAAACGAACGAAAAGGTTAATGAAAATAGAGCTTTCAGATAAGATAGTGCCCAATTCGGAAGACTCGGAAACTTTCATATATGTGCATACGTAAACAAGCAATATGAGCTAAAAGTCGTTTTTATTCTTTTTTTTTTTATAATGGCTGCGCCAGATTTTTTTTTTTAATTGGGGTTGCGTTGTTTTGCGCTACTGGGGTTTGTCGTACAAAAGTAACGTGTACATGGGTACCCCATTTACAACACAAGTCTCGTATACACAAGCACAGTGTTTTTAAACAAGCCCGCTTTGCCCACACCAGGTGTGGGCACTGCGCCGGTGCGGAAACTAAATTCGGAAAGAGTAAAGCGTCTGCGCGTGCGCCGTGCCGACAGCAGCGCCACCGCACCGGCGTGACGTCGGTGAGTTGAGTTGGTCTATAACGTGGTTCACACGCGCACTCCTTTTCCCCCTAAGCCGATGGGGCGATGGGAGACACGCGCTCGTGGGACGCGTCGACTGTCGCACTTTCATCGCAGACTACACGCCATCATTCTCCATCACCATTCAAAACGTGGCAGAGGTGCGAAGATGACATCGCCACGTGACGTCGCACATTCTCCGCCAAGCTTAGTCGAAAAACGCTTTCTGCTAAGTTTAGCGGGGAAACTCCAACGTAGCTTAAGATAACCATTGCACCGCTAAATTTAGTGGAGAAAGTTTTGCGCCAACCCAGTTTAATACAAGTTTATTAAGCGTCTTACTCGCACGTTATGATGTTCCTATAGCGTTTGGTCGCGTTATTAGTGGAGAGGCAAAAATAAGGCACGATCACGCTGCCAACCTTTATTCATTTGATACTATAGAGATGCAAACAAAGGTCTCCGATGTCTGTTTAATTTTTAAAAAAAAGCTATTTTTTTAGTGAAAGATTACATTATACATCATGGGACACAAGCCAAACCGTTTATCACACTTCTAGCTTGACACATCCATTGCACTACCTTCTTTACTCGCTATTCATACTTTCTTAAGCTCGTGTTTTCAGAAACCGAATAATCACAAGTCAATATAAAAAAAATAAGCATACGTCCATACACAAAAAAACAAACAAAAAGAAAACACGTACGGTCTACGCAAAGGATGAGCAACAAGCGGCTTGCATTGACGTCAGATCTGAGGCAATTGTGGTGGCCTTGCTGCGGGTCCCGTACGCTCTGCAGCTTTAATTTCAAATCACTAATATTGTTTTTCTTGGCAATAACAAATCAGAATGACCACCAGAACACTGAAGCGCGGTGTGAGGACGTTAAGTGTAAGCTATGTATAAACGTCCCATCTGCAATCCTTCTTTTCTTTCCGCGCCAGGATTCAAGACTTGGGCGTCGGTCAGCGGGACAGCCCTCGGGCGGCCTCCTGGTGAACGGCGGAAAGCAAGGCAGCACCCTGCATGCCATATTCAGACTCGAGGAGGGCCAGGTGTTGACGGCGGAAATGGCGTCACCGGAAGAGCCCGCGGCGGCCAGCTTCCGGACGTCGCCCAGCGGTGACCGCCTGCCCAACGGCCTCACGTACCAGGCGTCGCAGTCGGGACTCCGGGTCACCGTGCACGAGAACCCGCTCAGCACCGTGCTCGAGTATCGGAGGACCCCGTCTCCTGTGCCGCAGGTACGACGCGGCCACCTACCGGAGACAGTCCAGACACGGCCGTTGTTTGAACTGTCTCCGTCTTGTCATTCTTGTCCGTCTGCTAGAACCGGCTAAAGCAATAGAATGCAGAATTGTGAAATATTTAATGTGCGGTACTGGTTTGGCCGGTGATCACAAACACAAAAAGACGACGAGAACCATGACGTTTCACGTTTGCCGCTGCTTGATTGGCTCTATCGGATCACAAGTTGACTACGGTGGGCCTTACACTGGAACTGAGTACAGTGTCACCAAAATGAAGCGGGCGCTCCCTATCCTACCAAAGACGCCGAGACCACGGACACCCAACACTGTCATGCAACAATGCCTCGTCGACAACCGATTTTGTTTTGAGAGTGCTAAAGCGACAGTTGTACAATTATGTATTATATGGAAACCTGCACATGGGTGTCGACCTTAAGGCCTGATCACGCATACACCACAACGTTACCTCAGCGCTATTAGTCAGCGCTGAAAATAATGCTGCCTCAGTGCAGATCCTATAGTGCTCTTTTACTTTTAGCGCTGCGATGGATGTATTTGTAAACCAACCCTTAATCACTGATTTTTTTTTTTTTTTTTTTTGGGGGGGGGGGGGGGCAGTTTTGGTGGCATCTGTAAAGCGCACAGTTCAAGCTTCTGATCGCGTGCACAAAGTCGTCAACACCGAAAATTCTGAGCATTGTTCCAATAGAGACACCAGACAAAATCCTTCTAAAGGCGTCAGTGTCAGCTTCATCTAAATCGATCACCTTGTCGTGGACATCATCAGGAATGGGAAGTAAAAGAAAAGCGCATTTGTCAGTAGTATGTTTTGAGGGTTCCAACGAGCACGACAAAAATCGAGGCTACGGTTGTCCATACGGTTGGTTCGGTACGCTATTATAGCCCCGGAAAGGATGTTGTTTTTTGCAACTTTATGGGTGAACTTCTGCTGAGAAAAGCAAACTCTGTACACCCATAAGCTGACAATGCGCTGAGAACTACTACGTATTAGCCGAACAAATCAACCGTCTCTTTTGTTATTAGCTTTCGTCTTTACCCCGTTCTCGGCGCGTGAGCAAGGACAGGAGCCTGATAACGTGATAAAAAACAGAAGTACGTCGTCATAATCTGCGTATTCTTAAGAATCAAAACACTTTATCTTTTCATATTGTCATGGCCTCCAAGATTTTTCCTTGCGCTCTGCTCCGGCCTGTTCAAACGCTCGGTCACCCAGCAGAAAAAGCGCCGAGTCAGTTCTCTAGATTTCCGCATGCGGCGCTTATAACCAGACCAGAGACGGAAACAGAATCGCCTTGAAGCACGCTGTCAAGTGTGAGCCCGCGGCATGAACGCTGCATTTTCACTGCTCTCGCAATCATAATAGAGACAGGTAAATCAATCTCTCTTGATTCGCAGTATTTATTTGCTGGTTCGGTCTTTGCGCTGCTTCTCTGGATGATAGTTCACAGTGGAATATTTAGTGCGAATCGATAGTTGTCACCGGCGGATACTGTCTGGGCCCCGGCGGGAGAGGCAAAGAAATATTTTTGCCGTCATACATGATGACAGCTTTTTGAACCTCACTTACGTGCGAGAACATTTGGTCTACTCCTTTCGCGCTTTGAAAATATGAACTTTTAAATTACGAGCAACTTCTTCCTTTCCAAAGGTTGTGTGTTGCGGCCAGAGGCGGGAAGCACAATTCGCTCTGCTCCTAAGTTCCGTAGACCGAGGATAATGGTGATGATGAGGATTCGCGGTTATTTCGTTGTGTCGCTTTATTTTGTTGCGAATGCCACCAAGCGCCCCGCAGCATCCATCTCTACCGGCGATTGCAACGGCCTTAGGGGCGCAACCAGAGCGCGCGAAAAATCTCGGAGGCCATGATTTTGTCGAGCAAGTTGGACAACCCATCGCGCTCCTAAGCAGGGAGGTACCTCCCTTCAGTACCATAAACTCTTTGAAACACCAGAAGGCAACATACACATCAAGTATAACTGCAGTATAAGTGTGAGGACATTACCGATATAGGAAGTATCAGGGTGCCTCAATGTCCTTCTGTTTAGGGTGATGCCACCCTTTGTAGTACCACATGCCGACAGCACGCGCTCACGGGAAAGATACAAAGAAATCGATGAAAACAAAATGTCGCCATAGCACAGTCAGCGCCACAAGGGCGTGCAGGGACACGCTCTTTTACGCGCTTCTGAACAAAAAATAAAAATAAACGTGTGTGACAAAATGGCGAGATGCCACCACCCTAAGCAAAGCGCACATGAGGAAGTATTCACTGACGGTGTGCGCGGCTGCTGAGCGCGTGCCGGCGGCGAGCTTCCACAGTTCTTCCGCACCATGCATTCCGGACCGTCGAAATTACCTCTGAGCATGCGCTCTAAACATCGCCCACAAATATGGCGCCCAGGAGATACCCCCCCTATTACCACCAATTAGTTAAAACCGCAGTCCCGCTGACCGTACGTCATATACAAAAGACACGGAGTTCATGGCTGACATGTTGACAAAATTATCCGCGGAAACGCCTCACGCATGTTCAAAACATGTGTGCTTTATACATACGTAGGCTTTAGTCAGTGTCTGCAGACTGTTTTTGGTATGATGCATTAGCAGAGTGAGCGCGGCTCAAGGTTCCCTCCGAAGTGCAGCAGACACATCTAAACTTGGCACGTATGCTCTTTCCATTTTATTGGCCAGTACCAGGACAACCGCGCGGATGCGGTGGTCAGTCTGCCTATCCTGTCCGGTCGGGAGCTGGCGGCGCTGTCCAGCAAGAAGCCATCCCGCGACGAGTCGTGCCACAGCCCCGGCGGACACCGGGTGAGCCAAGTCAAGCTCTCTTCGTCCAGAACGAGACAGAGGGCGCGGGACTTGTCCTTCCTCGGCTTCGTGACGCTCTTGGGAGCCGTCTGCTGCGTTCTGGGCTACCTGGCCTTCCTTCGACCGCAACGCACGACGCCAGTGGCCATCACCGGTAGGTGGCCTCTTTAGATACATCCTCGAGTATAAAAGAACGCATGACCAACACCGCCTGCAATAATCAAAGTCTGTGAACAGCCTTCTTTAACTCATCGTAATGGTCCAGCTTCCTTCAACGAGTTGAATGGACGCGAGACAAACCTGAGAGCTGTCGCAGCACTCAGGTCCAACCTGTGGTTTGCGCTCGATCCACTGATCTCTATGTCTATTTGCTGGATCGCATTTGACCAGCTCCGCCTATGGACGGGAATGCGGCCACGGTCGGCCATCTTTTTGGTTGAGTTTATATCCTCTCTATACTTCATAATAATATGGCGGACAGCGCTGTGGCGACAGACTGCCATAAAAATAGCTGTGGGTCTAGTACACTGTATACCATGGGCGATATTTCGTGCTTGATTGAAGTTGTTCGACGAAGCAGATTTTTAAAATCCGGCGTGAAGGGTAGCCCCGCATCTTTGAGGACCCGGCGAAAGTTTTACAAAAGCACAGCACCGGGGGAAAGCAGTGCAGCTCGCATCGAAAGCAGACGACGTACCGAGAACTACCGGGAATGGGCCCCTCCGCGGTTCGACATTGTTGACAGGTGGTGTTGTGATTTCGGTGGTGGTGAAGTCTTGTGCATTTAGGAAATTCTCGCGAGTGTATATACTCACTGGGGTCTCTCCACAAACTTGCGTACCGATGTGCCCGTGAGTGATTTATATATGTTTGTATCATATATTCGCATGCGACGTTCTAAATAAAATGCATTTACACGAAGTGAATTGATGTCTTCTCCTGATCATACTGGTCATAGCCAGAGGCCCAGAGCGTCCTCCGCTTCACTGAGAGAACGCAGACAGTTCGTCATCAGTGTCGTGCGAAATCAGCTGTGTGTCAGCCATCGCCCAAATCCGCTTTCTATGCGAGCGGTGCTGCTTTTCCCCGTTGCTGCGATTTCGTGAAACTTTCGCCGGGTCCTCAAAGACCGGGCTGCCGTTCACGCCGGGTTTCAACAATATGTTTCGTCGAACAATTTCAATCAGGCACGAAATATTCCCCACGGCTATTTTTATGACAGCCCGCAACCACAACTGCCTCAACGCTGTCTGCCATGGATGAATGATAATGGCTGCACCAGCTGTACCCTATCTAACGGGCGGTAAATTACGCCACCATACTACTATGCTGTGGCTAGAGGTAATATACCTGTACCAAAAAGATGGCAGCCAGTGGCCACATTCGCGAAGCGGGCAAACGCGATCCAGTGAGTAGACATAGAGATTAGTCGCTCGATCTCACAGTTATGGCTTCAGTCCTGCATATCCGCGGATGACCCGCGGATCATCTGCGGATATCCGCAGTAAACTGGCGGATACGGATAAAAATGTATCAGGTTTGTTGGATTGCGGTTTGAATGAGGATGCCAAGGGCTGCGGATGCAGATCGGATCCGGATCTACATTTTTGCCGAGGCTGCCCATAAACGTGCGCGACCACAGAGTGTAGAGTGAATACGTGAGTGAGAGGGAAACTTGCACCAGCCCGGAGTTTCCGTACCTTACTCTTTGTGGCGCAGTTCGTGCCTTCCATCCCGGCATCAAATACGTCAGCGGAAAGAGACTTCTCATTACCGGGTCTTAATTTAAGAGAGGCGAACCAGTCTGCATCCGCCCGTTCTGACGATATTCTGTTTCTTCTACACAGCAACTTCGACAAGTAAAACGTTGCGTGTGTGTGCATTTTGTTTGCTTCTCCCGACATTTGGTAAGTCGTAAGTACGTGGGTCCGGGAATGCAGTTGAGGGTTCGTGTATAAAACTGAAACCGAAAGGAGGTGTCGCCATTATTGAATATTGTGAGATTTTCCAGTGGTGTACTCGCGCGTTATATACGAGTACTTTGCTGCGGTGAGTGACCGCCTTTCCTCTCTCAATATTTTATTGTTTGACCTAAATAAAATGTCGGAATGTTTTTTTGTTAATTTTTATGCGTAGAAATATGCGTCTGCTTGAAAGAAGTTACAAAGCAAAAAGAAAAACAAAATGAAATATATTTTATTTTGAGAGCATCTTCTAGACAGAGTGTCACGGACTCCCAGGACGATCCCATAACTGCGATCATCTTCCCAGCGATGCGAAGCGTCTCTAGAAGGATGATCGCTTATAATATATGTACGATAAAACAGAGTACGATAAAATTGTTTTCACCGTATTCTGACACGATTCCTTCTTTGCATCGTGTATAAACGGACGGCTTATACAGCAGGAAAGTGTTCCAAAAGGCGTCTTTGGCGCAGCGGAACGCAAGGAGGGACACTCCAATCAAACGGCAATATAGAGAACACGCAAGGAACACTCGAAGAAGGCAGCCATGCGCGCGCAGTCATTGGTTAAGGTCGGGGGAAAACAAAAGCACGTGGATGTAAGGGACGGGGGGGGGGGGGGGGGGGGTAAACAAACGGACGAGGTGCGCGAGGAGCAGAGGGACTTGCAGGCCGTATAGGATACCACCTTCAGATGCTTTCTATTATGTATTAATGCTTGATTTTATGATGTAAAATTAATGCGCGGATTGCTGGTCGGATGCGGCTCCGAATTTTGCGGATGCGGTTCGATTACGGACACAAATGTTCCGGATGTAGATCGGGTACGGATGATCGAACCTTTATCCACACAGAGCTCTAGGGATGTCGTCGAAATACTATTGCACGGTCTCCGATTATTCTATGTGGTGTTGGCTTATCAAAGTGCGATTTAGGCAGCGAACCAATTCTCGGATGGCAATCGGTTGAACCGATCAGGTATTCACACGAAGCTATATAGACCTGGAGCCCTGGCCTTAAGATAACCTTCCCCATCCCTTCAGGTTCCCGTCCAACCAATTATTATGGTAGCTTCGGAAAATTGCGAAAAAATATGCAAATAAAATCAGTAAAATTTTAATGTGTCAATGTAAGACCGGAGTCACACTTTATATACATCATACAAAAGACAGTACGCATACAGACTCAAACGCGAATCAACGCGAGATCCGTGTTACGAATGCCGCACGGCACTGAGTTCAAGGAGAAACTTGACACGCGGCTCTCGAACCACGGATATTGCGGTGACTCGTCTTTGCAGACTGTCTTTTGTAGGATGGTAGGAGCACTGTGACTTCGGCTTAAAAAGAAGCATGTTTAACAAAGGCGAGGGTGGACAAAAGTGCTCCAGTAGAAACACCGGCTAACCTGCGTCCTTTCATTAGACCCACTTTTTTTGCTTAGCTGCTAATTTGTACGCCAATTTTATTTTAGAGTGCAGCTCTTAGGCGCCCGTTTCCGGCTTGAGCGGCGTCGGCGTCGCCGTCGGCGTAACCGCACGTTGCATGCATCTCATGTTGCATGCAACCCGCGTTGCATGCAACTTGCCGGCGTCAACGTAATCACGCGCTGCATGCAACCCACGTTGCATTTAGTTCCAGCTGCATGCAACCCTCGTTGCATGCAACCCGCCGCAGTCGCCGGGTTGCATGCAACCCCGAGGTCACGTGAACCCCCGAGGTCACGTGACGTTCCGAGGTCACCAGGTCACGTGACGCCCCGAGGTCACGTTACCCCCCGAGGTCACTTGACCGCCCCCCCCCCCCCGAGGCCAGATGACCCCCCCTCAGTACCCTTCCCTCCTTCTCCTCCCCAAGAGCTGCGCTCTAATTCGGCGTTACGGGGAGTTGTAAACGGCTTTCATTTTTTAATAATATTTAGGAAAATATCCAAGCGTCTCCACTTGTGCGAGAAAAAGATCCAAGCGTCTCCACTTGTGCGAAAGATATTTTAACGATCTGCTTACGCGGCCTCACAACTCGGCCGCCAAAAGCAGCATTTTTTTTCTGTTATTTTGTAGATTTGTTTATCTGCTAATATTGTAAAACGTGTCGCTGGCGCACTGTATTTTCTGGTTATTAACAGCAAGCATAGTTTCGCAAAAATAGTTTGTTTTCAGTAAAGCAACCTTGAAATATCGAACTGAAAAAGTGAACCCGTGCTCTTTCATTCCTCATTCCAGAGTCCGCTGCCAAGATCTGCCTCACACCCGAGTGCGTCAAGACCGGTGAGACGACTTCGCACGATACGTTCCGCCACTATAGTCACTCGCAACCTAAAAAATTCAGAGCGTGGCTTATTATTTGAACGATCCTTGCTTTCTTGGAGCTCCTCGGCGTTCTGATTAACGCCACAATGACATTAGCTTTAGAGTGATAATAATACGCTTGGTACTCACCCACGCCATGCGTTTTGTATTGAAACCCTCCCATACTTTTAATTTCACGTACCAAACGTACCGCGTACCGAAACGACCCAAATCGTCCCCGCCGTAAACATCGCATTGCATCTTCTGAGACCAAAACGGCGTCCAACCGCTGGAAATTTATTTTCGCGCGGTTTCTGTTTCCTAGGTTTTTATGTCACGCGGGTTCATCATCTGCAGATTCGGATTAGGTAGTTCTAAACTCCACTAGACCTTCCCCTTCCCTTCCTAATAAACACATAGTAGAGCATGTATATGCTAATGTTTTGTACAAGCTGAAAGCGAGATTCTATCATCCTCAATATACACAATCAATTTAGTTGTCCCTGACATACAATAAGTTACATGACTGTTGCGAGGTTCTTTGGGGTTAATAATTGACAAGATACAATGTCCTTCGTTTCTCTTAAAACATGTATTTACAAAAGAAATCAAAGAGTTCATATGCTTATACTGAAAGAAAAAAAAGAAAACTTAGTTAAAAAATGGAAAAAAGGAAAACGCAACAGTCACCATGTCTTTGAATCACCATGCGCAGCAGCGGGTCTTGTGTCTGGAGCTGTCGTTGTCGGCCCACGGTTGTGGCAGGCAGTCAGGAGCGGGAGCGGTTGGCTTCCGTCGATGACCCAAGGGTCACCGCACCAAGTGCTCGCACAGTAGGAAGCCGGGCAGCGTAGGTTTCTATGCGCTGCCCTCGCTGGAACAGGCTGCCAGTCAGACAGTAGGAGCGAACCGCCGATTGCCCCGGTCGATGGTGTCGTTCCGACCCAGCACGTTCTCACGGCCCGTCGTTTGCACGCGCTCCGTGCACGCACTACAAATCTCTCCCCTTCTTCGTCATCTTCCTTCGCCCTCCGAGCCGATCCATGGGTCGACTTGCACTCAAACTGAAGGGCCCCTCCACTTCCTTGAGGAAGACGCGAGGGCCGGCGCTAGCCAATCGCGACGGCGGATCCGTCCTCGCGATTGGCCAGCGCCGGCCCTCGCGCCTTCCTCGAGGAATTGTTAAAGTGCCAGCTGAACGTTTTACGGACACACACACAGAGACGAACGAAAAAGGCAGACACACCGCTGGACTATCAACTATTTCTTTACAACATCCTGACATCCAGAGTAAGCCTAAATACACTCCCATATCTCAATCAACTAACTTCAAGAAAAACACGACACACTAGGGATCACGCACTACAGCCCATCTTCGCAAAAACAAATGCCTTTAAGCACAGTTTTTTTCCACGCACTATTTCGGACTGGAACTTGCTACCAGAAACCATTATTCAGTCAGCCAATTTCATTCAGGAATTAGAACGGTACCTAATTCGATAATGCATTCCGCAGCAGTGGTCTTGTCTTCTTTTGTATTATTGTTTTTGTCATTTTTTCATGTGCACCCATATGTTGCATTTTTTGCCCCTCCTGCTTGGGCCAGAGAACTGGCCTGCAGTATTGTTAAATAAATAAATAAAATAAATAAATAATTTTAATGAGCGTTCAGCTGACACTTTAACAATCATGAACCAACTAGCTCAGCTTCAAGCCGTCACAAGTTTCCTCGAGGAAGTGGAGGGGCCCTTCAGCTTGAGTGTATAGTTTGAGTGAGGTTTCTGAATTCGGCGGTTAGTCACATCATCACAATGACATACAACACGATGAAAGTAACACCTTAATTAAATTATCTCAGATTCTTTCTGGCTGCAAAAGCTACTGAGTGTTGTGAATGTATGTACAAGCAACCTAATTCCTCTCCACAGATGTGTCGTCAATACAAGTGCAACGTTATGAATGGTCAATTTAGCCAGTACAGTGTGAATGCTGAAAAGAGGTCTTTACCGCGAATCAGGCAGCAATGATTATACGACCGCACGTCAGTACAATGCCCGCTCATTTGAAACCAGCCCGGGAAAGGAAAATATTAAACGTAGGATGCCTTGTTTTTCCCTTTTTTTTTTTCTGTCGCGCAAACTCTCTTTTTCACGTGTTTCAAACTACAATCTCGTCGGTAACGTTACCTGTCAATCGCTCCAAGAAAACCATCCTCAGTCGTTCTAAAATTAACGTTGTGGAAGCTAGCTGTCTGGGCGAGTTCAACAGCACAGCACGCAGCTTCCAATAGGGCTCGTATTGCATTTTCATACAACAAAGCGGGCATAATCGGAGCCCTCGGGGTTGTGTACCCGAACACTTCTGGCCTTTGTTTCGCGCTCTCGCGGCAGGACCTCCGGAAAACGAGGGATGATTCGTCCTTTGTTCAAAAAGCGCCATTTTCTAAAACCTTTTGTGCGGCGCGTTTGTCGCGCTCGACAGCGTTTTCTGCCCCGGCAGCGCGGGCTTTCCCGTAAATAAATCCGACGTGCCGAAAACGCGACGATCTCCCATACTCCGTTCCCCGCTAAGCTGACAGTGCGGTGGAAGCTACGTGCTCACTGGAACAGTCATACGTCCATGTACCGCCACGTGATCGCTCTCGCACGTGCAACGAGCGGGATCAGGTGAGGAAAAGCAGACCTTGGATTGGACCGGCAGGAACGCTCAACGCACTATCGGCTTAGGAACCAGCCGCCTTCCTTTCCTCACTTATGACTGCACACATACGCGCAACCCAGCATAAACGGTGTTATGGGCAATCAGTCATGGAAACGCATACAAGGGATGCTACACCGAGAGCCTGTTTTGTGGATTCGACTGAACTCACAGACTCTGGACGAACGTGGAGGGGGGTTCCCCAACCCTAGAAATAACTCTGCCAAAACTCTGCCAGAGTGAACAGTCGCTGGTGGTGGTGACAGGCGGCGAACACAACGGCACTCGCTCCATAGCCCCCAGAGACGGTGCGTGTGAGGGAGAAAGAAAGGGGGAAGGGGCGAAGGGATGTAGTGCGAAGAAGAGTGGCGCGCAACTAAATATCCCCTTCGCCCCTCTGCCTATCCCACCAACCCCAGCCGGACGAGAGCGAAAGGAGTGTCGAGCCATGACTCTGCAGAGTTTACGCGCGCTGCTGGCCAGCTAGCTGTCCCCCGCCGTCGTTCCCTCGGCCTCCAATCTCCTTTCTCGCCCCTAAATCCAATCAGAATCTGGGAGCAGCGCTCGCTGGATGCACGCCGGAGCTGGCTTGCACTTCATTTAGCACGCTGCTGGAAAGAGGGGGGTGGCAGACGACCGTACGTGCCCCAGGTTCGGATGGCCGAAGCCTGAGCCAAAGACAAGCTGCCGACGGAAGCCGAGCTCTGGGTCTAAACTCCTCCGTGCCGCCTTACTATGGACTGCAACGGACGCTACGAACCGCCCCAGCCAATCAGGTGATGCGAACGCATCACGTGACCAGGTGACCCACACTTGCTGCGCCCCTCCGGGATGTCACCTGACATTTACACAGCATCGGATTGCCTCCGATGGCTCGTAGCGCCCTCTACGGTCCATCGTTAAGGTGAAACGGTTCGGGGCAGTCCACCCGCTCGGGCGAGCGTACGGCTAATCCAATTGACGCCCCGCGCCTCCATCCTACTCACCTTTGCCCCCAGACCTACCAGTGTTGTTTGGCTGTGTATCTGCTTCCGCCGCGGCGTACCGACACAACCCCCTGCGTCCTCGTTCGTCCTCGTTATTGCGCGGCTGGTTATTTCTTCCGCTCCTATACGTCCTCGTCGCCGTGATAGCTTGTAATAACACCATCTGGAGGCCGGCGGAGTCTACGCGTAGACTCTAAGCGCACAACATCATTTTTTTGCACGTAATTTCTTTGGGGATTTTCTACTATGAGTGTGGTGGCGAGCTTATGATAATTAATAATGATGTAACAACTAAGACTGCAATGCGAAAAAAAAACCTTTTAAGTCGAAGAAAAAGACAACGGCAGAAGGTTCTCCTACTCTTCTGCTTCTACTGTTGCTCGCCTACTGTTGTTCTCCTGGGTTCTTCTGTTGTTGCCTGTACGTGTCTTCGACCTAAAAGTTTTTTTTTCCGCTCCACAGTCTCAGGTGTTACGTTAGGATCATTCATCACTCTGAATGTTTCGTTTTTCCTGTTTCGGCGGTAAACTTTGTATTAGTCGCAATCAGATGGTTGCAGACGAAGGCATACCGAAGCATAACCCTTGCCACGATGCGTTGAACTACTGTGCTGTTCATCCTGGGGTCACTTCATAAAAAAAAAAAAAAGAACACGTCAAGTATTGACATCTCCTATTCCGATTTTCCTGTAGGCGTCGCCATTTTAGGGCTTAGTGCAGAGCGGGCGCCATTGGCACGGTGGCTGGAACAGGTCTCCGACTGATGTGTTGACTGCCCCAAAAAAGTGGCCCTACTTTTCTACCTCGGTTCTTGGGGTGAAAATGAATATAGGTATATATGCGGAGTTCCAGTTCGTCTGCTTCTTGCACAGGGATTACGATCATGTCAGAACGCCGAGCTTTTATTGGCTGATTGAAAAAAAAAATAGTGGGTAGATTTCAAAGCTTCTAGCATCGACGTCTACCCACTATCCTTTCAATCAAAGCCATTCATAACCCGGCCTCATTCTGACGTCACAGCAACTCCGCAAGAAGCAGACGATTTGCTCTCCGCATAATTCTGCGTCTGAGTATATCTCCATGACAACGGAGAGCATCGCTGGTGATGCAGATTTATGCAATTGGACACTTGTACGTCATTTTAACTTTTACGACGCTTCAAGTTAACCTTATTTGGTTGTTCATATACTTACAATTTCATTTGTATAGCTTTAAAAAGATTACTTAAGTTAAGACATGGAACAATGATGGTTGAAGCGCGAAGAGGGTGGTACGGGAACAGTGAGGACGGTGCCTT